TGTCGCCGCCGCGCGGCGCGCAGTTCGGTCAGTGCAGAGCCCACAGGCGCGCGGCGGGGCGGGCCGCTCCCGGGGTGTGCAGCGTGGACAGAAGCTCCCGCGGGGCGGGGTGGGGAGGGGCAGTGGACTCCTGAGCCCCAACTGAGAGGGAGGGTCTAGGCCCACCGGGCAACCACCCCGGCCGCAGGCTCGCACCAGGGAACAGCCCCCCACCAGGGAACCGCCCCCCATTCCTCCTCCCCTCTGCCACCTGCGGGGGCTGGGGGGCTCCGAAAATTACAGCCCGGGCAGCTGAGCCCGGCCCCCTCCAGGCGCGCGCCCCCTCCATGGAGGCCCCAGTGCACCCAGGGCCCCGCCGGGGCGCCCCACCCCCGTGTCCGCAGTGGGGCTCACCGGCCTTCACGGAGCAGTGCACGTGGGCCTTGGACTCGTAGTAGACCCAGTCGAAGCCGGCCTCCACGGCCAGGCGCGCCAGCATGCCGTATTTGCTGCGGTCACGGTCCGACGTGGTGATGTCCACGGCGCGGCCCTCGTAGTGCAGTGACTCCTCCGAGTGGTGGCCGTCCTCGTCCCAGCCCTCGGTCACCCGCAGCTTCACGCCCGGCCACTGGTTCATCACGGAGATGGCCAAGGCGTTCAGCTTGTCCTTGCACCTCTGTGGGGAGAAGGCCGTGGACTTGACTGACTGCCCACTGCCGGCCGGGCCAGCCAGGGAGCGGCTGGAAGGAGGACGTCGGCGGGGGCAGGCCAGGCCAGGTGGCCACGGGCAGCGGGGCCCTGTGGGGGCAGGGCAAGGGCATCCCCCAAAGAGCAGGTCCCCTGGGAGACAAAGAGGCTTTTTCCCAATTCTGAACCAGCACAGCTCCTCCCCCCCACGGAGCTCGGGGTCCTGTCTCCGACCCGCCAGAGTGCCCCCGCCCCCCCCAGCTCCCCCTTTCTGCGCGTGGCGTGCAAGGTCTCATCCTTCTCTGGGACTGGCCTGGCCCAGGGGGCCCCAGAGAGGCCCGCGGGGAATTAGCAGGAAGGAAAAGGGGCCCTTGCGCGCCTCAGAGCGGGAGAAGCTCCCGTGCCCGCCGCCAGGCCAGCGGCAGGTGCGGGCCAGCCGCAGGCAGAGGGAGGCGGGAGCCGGGCTTGGGGCGGCCGGAGGCGGCCAGGTGAGCTGGGCTTTCTGCGCCGGCCGGCGGGGCACGGCAAACATTCTTTATCTGGGCCGCCACATTCCTTTCCCCGTGGAACTTTTCTCTGGCTTCTCTGTGGTCTGATTGTGTCTCTTGTTTTCCTTAACCTGCTCCCTCCCCTCTTGTTTTCTCGGCGGGCAGAATGGTGTCCTGCAAGTTTGAAGAGCAAACTTAAGAGGTGGAGGAGGGGTGGGGTGGGGCGGCGGTGGGGGAAGGGGCCTGGGAGAGGCCTGAGCCGGCATCCCTCGCCTTTGTCCCCCGCCGCACCCCCACTAGCCGGCGTGGGAGTAAAGAACCCCGGGAGGCGCCGGGCGTGGGGGGCAGGGGCCGGCCGCCAGGCAGCAGGGTGCCCTCAGTGCTGCCAGCCCCGCGGCTTCGGCTGCGCCTGCGGTGGGAGACGCG